GGCAGCCATTACTATCTTTCATTTACAAGTTAACGGTCTTGTTCACAGGACTACAGTCGTCATGTGTGGAACAAATCATTACATGAAATTTACTCACATCTCACGAATATGTCGTTAACTTGCTGTTTCTCGTCTATCAACCAAACTTATTGTATTACACATTTCAACAATATGACAGCTCAAAGTGTTTCAATCGCAAAAACATAAAAATCCATCTTAAACAAATATTGTAGGTAACTTTAAGGGGAATTTTATTTTACAAATTACTAACATAGCCAATTCACATGGAATTAAGAACTCAGACAATCTGTGCTATTCATTCAAATATATGATCAATAGAGTTTATGACTATAATGATGATATGCCAGTTTAAAATTGCAGTCAAATTCACATATGTCCCATTTCTTTTAGTACAGAAAACATTAATGAGGCAAATTTCTGATGCAGTCCTATCAAAGCATGCTAAAGAAAATGTAATGTAAACATCTTAGAGCTATATTTATACTGTGACATCATGGAATTGTGATATTTCTACCTGAGGTTGTTATACTGGCCCATGCCAATTTGGGATGACAGTTAAATGGTTAATAATATCGGACAATTTATGGTTGATGTCCAGCAACCCCCACTGCTAACAAAGCCATTACAGAGAAAAAAAACCTAGAACCAGGGCACTTAGCAGAAAAAAGGTTTTGAATGTTTTTCGGAACCAAACACGCTCTAAAGCATCTTGTCCATAGCTCTTCCACAGACGGTCAGCAAGATGCATTTAGCTCCGTGGACATGTCGCCAATGAAACGAGATTATTTTTATTATTATTATTGATTTTGTTACCCCTGCAATGTACTCTGTGTGTGGTATAGTCAAGAGTGTAAATTATTTAAATAAATATATATATTGTTTTGCTTTTTCTTATAGATGCATTTTCACCAAGAAAAGGAAAAACACACACACACATATTAAATATATAGATTCAAAAATTATGTTTTTACAGTTTTAAAGTTTCTTAATGACCTCAAATTATGTTTTTTGATTTTTTATGCCATGATTGTTTGGTACACGGATTGATGAACTTATTTTTCTTTTCTTTTTCTGTTGCACAACAATTGGCCCTTGGGGATAGTAAAGATGATTGAGTGAAACTTGTCGTCAATGGGATGCGCTTTAATTTATGACTATAACTTTATCTCACTTTTTAAAAAAAGAATTATGAATATTATGTATTAAAATGTCATAAAAATTGGTTTTTTATTTGATTTGAAGTTAAAAGCAAACAAACTGCACACCCAGTTAGATCAACTACTACATAAAGAAAGTTTTAGGCAAACAGCAGCTTGTAAAGCCACACCTGTAGTTAAACATTTAATATAATCAAAAACGACCTTTGTACCTCCATCACCACTTCTGACTAAAAATGAGGTCAGGCAGCCATTACTATCTTTCATTTACAAGTTAACGGTCTTGTTCACAGGACTACAGTCGTCATGTGTGGAACAAATCATTACATGAAATTTACTCACATCTCACGAATATGTCGTTAACTTGCTGTTTCTCGTCTATCAACCAAACTTATTGTATTACACATTTCAACAATATGACAGCTCAAAGTGTTTCAATCGCAAAAACATAAAAATCCATCTTAAACAAATATTGTAGGTAACTTTAAGGGGAATTTTATTTTACAAATTACTAACATAGCCAATTCACATGGAATTAAGAACTCAGACAATCTGTCTTATTGTCTGTCTTATTGTCTTATTGTTCTTGTAAAAATTTGTGTAAACCAAATATTTACACACAGAAATATATTTCTGGCTCCAGTTCTGAAGAAGAGACCATCATGACAGAAACAAATCAGCAGAGTTATTTCTTTCTGCTTCCTGATAATCTGCAGCAGAGGAGAACCAGAACCTTTGGTTCTGGTTCTGGTTGGTGTCATCATCATGACACCTGAAAGTTTTCTGAACCATCACATCAGTACAGTGGCTTCCAAAAGCATTAATATACTTTGACCTTTTCTCAGAGAAAAGGGGACTGCACTTTTCAATTTATTTGTAAAAATGTTTTGAATCATGTATATTTTTCATTCTACTTCCCAACTGCATACAACTTTGTGTTGGTCTTTCATATTAAAGTCCAATGAAATATATTTGTTTGTGGTTGTACTAAAACAACATATAATAAAGTTCAAGGGGTTTGATTACTTCTGCAATCCACTGTATATTTGTAGGCTAAAGGGCTCAATAACAATGTGATAGTATCTCTGAGTGACATTAACCTCAGTTGGACTTTATTCATTGATATTTTAGCCTTTATGTAGAGAATCTGACACTCCTCACCTTTACTTCCCATGGCTTTGCACATAAACCTTCACTATGACTAGAAAAAGCCTTTACCATTCCACCCAGAACAACTTTAAACCTGCCCGAGACGTTTATCCTGTCAAAACTGCAGAACTGTGGACGTAATGACATTTATGAACATGTTCCTGCAGTGAATGTTTGTGGTTCAGAAATGCACTTCTGAACAAACTAAATGGGTTCTTTAAATCACCTAAATAAACATGCTCTTTTTCCATCCCAGTACTTTTTAAATAAAAAAATCTTTATATCAAAATTTGATGTAAATTAAATGTATCTAAATGTGAACTACATTCGAGTATAGCTTACAAGATGAATAAGCTATAAATTAAAGTGCAAACTTGTTCCTTGTTACAAAATCAGTACAAGTTCAGACAGGAATGTTGAAAGTATCTGAGGCAACTGGAGAGCAGAAACTGTTGGCTGTAATCTAACCCACCTCTCTGCTGCTGCTTCACCAGTGTTTTCTGAAACTGGCAAAAAGTGTTTTAACACAAGCTGGAAAATTTAACTCATGGGAATGTATTAAAAATGGCTTTCATTGTCTACCTGTTCATCCTCACAGTATGTCAGGGGAGCTGGTGCCTATCAGCGTTATGTAGCACCGACAACCAAGAATTAACCAGCTAACATAACAGTCATGTTAGCTGGAGCGCCCAGAAAGAACCAACACACAGCGATAACCTAGAAACTCTATATAAAAAGACGTCAGGGTGGTATTACAATTCATGATCTTGTTCTTCAGCAACAGTGCTAAAACGCCACTGTCATGCTGTTGATGTTCATCAGCGATTAGTCATCTTACTTTGTTCTGATAGGTTGATGTCAAACAAGGTGGGTAGAATGAGAAAGTGAATCATTTATGCAAAATTCTGCAGAGCAGCACAGAAACTCCACTGTAAGCAGTTAAAAACTTTCTTCTGGTTGATATGCAATAAGTACTTCCATTGTAAGGTTCAATGAGCATCATGTGTTGGACAATATTTAAACCACCTTTATTGACAGGAACTTGGAAGTAACACCACAATCAACAGTAGGTAATAGGATCATTACCCAACATCCCTTGTTCATAAGCTTGAATCTCTCTCTAGCTAATATCCTTTGATGTATTTTAAATTTGTCTTGAGCCAGAAGACCAGCCAGAACCAGAAGACGTGAGAGATCTGGAAGAGATACAACAACAGATTTTGAATGTACTGTGGGGCTAAAATAAATCACTGATTTATAAACTAACAAATATTTTAAGGAGGCCATAATGTGCAAAATCCACTTTTTAGTCCTTTAATTTTTCTGTGTACCTTTGGGTGTATAGGAGTGCAAATTTTTTTTTAATGTATTCTCTCTCGGTACCATGTATAAATCTTAATATTCTTTTACATTTTCATTTGTCAGTCTGTTCATTTTTTTCTATTGTTACATTTTCTTGCCTATGACGTCACATCATTTGCTGTGTAACTGCTAAGCAAGATCATTATTTCTTGCTCCCATGGTTTTTTCCTTGGACCAATTTTGTAGTACAAGTCCAGTTATACCAAAATTGTTGGTAAAAGACTCAAAATGTTCAGTTCTAGCACGTGTTAATGGACACAACTTGTTATTGCAGCACAATTGCGATGTGATCATTGAATGTGTGATTAATTCTCCTGCTGTGGGTCAGATTCTAGGCCACCATGTTAGTCCAGATGGAGAAGTCTTCCCTTGTTGACATCTTTAGGAAACTTTGGAATAAAATGTTTCTCTGCTAGCAGATAATCACTGCCAGAGCAGCTAAATTTTTTTCACATATCGGTCTCATACTATATTGTCACATCATGGTAAAAATAATTTTTTGATAAAAGTTACATGTTGCAGCTTTAATTCTGGAAATGTTCCTCATGTGATAGAAGGCTGAGTTTGTAATTGTCTTTATGTGGCTCTGAATGTTCAGGTCAGAGTCCAGATTTCAAGCTTTAAGCTGTAACAACTGAAATGTCATGTTGACTTCTGAATGTTCCTCTTTAGGTCCAAAGATAAATTTTTAATTTTAAACCTCAATGCGTGAGTAAAAAAGAGATTAAAATGTATGAATAAAAAAATTCTAAATATGACTCAAAGAAAACTAACATCCCATTACAATAAATCTTCAAATGTTTTCATGGATTTCCAGAGTTTTTAAAAGTTTCAAACTAATGAAACATTAATGTCCGCAGATTATTGGGTATAAAAACATATTTGGGAGTTAATCACTTGTCCTCACAAAATAAATGTTGCAAATCCACAATCTTGATCCAAGATCTGATCTTTGTCCAATGAAATAATGACAATGTCTTGAATGATAATTACAATTTTCATCAGCTGATCTGTACATGGATTTTAACTGCAGCATTTAGTCTGATAAAGCAACAAATGGGAATGCAATCATTTTAATGATGATGGGAAACAGGAAGTGTCAGCACCCAAACAAACTCCAACATCAACGAAACAACAGACACAATGACAAAGTAGCTCCATAAAGACAGCTGACCTCTGAACAATGTATAATAACAATCTCACCAACCAATGATGGAGCTGAAAGAAACTGAAGCAAAACTACAAATTTTAACCAAATAGACTTCAATCACTGCTAACTGTTTAGGATTAATGAACTCAGCAGATGATCCTTCAAAAGTCCAATGCCAGCAAGTAGAGGCTCAGTGAATCTGGTCTGGACTCTGTGGATCAGAGTCATGGTTTTAGAGACGCTGTAGAAACACAGAATACCTGCTCTGTGGTCCAGATACACTCCCACTCTGGAGGAAACTGGACCTGGTACTGGAGTTTCAATGCGGTCGTGCCAAAATTTGTAATGGAATTTGTCAAAATATAACGACCATGATTTATTATTGAATCCCAGTATAGCATGCATTGAACTTCCTGCTCTGCTGATGTTCTTGTATGAAACTGCTACATAAACTCCCTCTCCTCTCATTTCCACCTCCCAATAACAACGTTCAGTCAGATTCTCTCTGCTCAAAACCTGACAATAACCAGTGAATCTATCTGGATGATCAGGATAAGACTGTTTTTGCTTCGTTCCTGTTGCTATTCTGTTCCCCTCAGATAATAACATATTTCTGTGTGCTGTTTGGATCCAGCGTGATTTGTTCTGAATATATTAAGAATTCATCTCTGGTCTTTGGTTCTGGTTCTGACTTTAAAACAAAATTTCAGCTATGTTTGTCCATGAGTCTCTCAGGACGTCCTGTAGTTTGTCTCTGAGCTCTGACACAGCTTCTGTTATGTCCTTAAAGTGTCTCAGAGGACGAACAATGATGCTGGATGATCCTGTAGACTCACTGAGTGCTGGCAGTGAGGGGTAGTTGAGGAGAAACTGGGTGTGATCCTCTGTGTGTGAGAACTGCTCCAGCTCAGCGTCTTTCCTCTTCAGCTCAGTGATCTCCTGCTGCAGCTTCTCCTGAACATCTTTGACTCGACTCACTTCAGTTTCCTGCTGGGATCTGATCTGCTGCTTCACATCAGAGCTTCTTTCCTGGAGGAGACGGATCAGCTCAGTGAAGATCTTCTCACTGTCCTCCACTGCTTTATCAGCAGAGACATTGATGGCCTCCACCTCTCGTTGAAGCAGCTTCACATCTTTCTCTTGGTCCTGGATTCTCTGATGGATTTGTTGTCGACTCTCCTGGAGCTTCTTCTGCTTCTCATCCATTTCTGCTGCAGCTGGGACTGTTTCATGGCCTTTATGTTCATCCATAGTGCAGAGATAACAGATACTCTGCTGATCAGTACGACAGAAGATCTTCATCACCTCATCATGACGAGAGCAGATGTTCTCCTGGAGGTTCTTGGAAGGATTCACTAGCTTGTGATTTTTAAATGATGGAGAACCATAGTGAGGTTGGAGATGTTTCTCACAATAAGAAACCAAACAAACCAGACAGGACTTGTCAGCTTTCCTTTTCCTCCCAGTGCAGACATCACAGGCCACATCTTCAGGTCCAGCATAGCAGTGGGTGAGTTGATCTTTCTGCTCCATTTCAGCTCTCAATAACATCGACTGTGTGAGTTTCACTTCTCTGCAACAGAGACTGCTCTGAGCTGAGGTGTAAAATATTAGGTAACTGAAGGGAGTGTCTCTGGATCCTCCCATCATGACGGTTGAAACCCAGAGGGAGGGAGAACAAGGAAGCTCTTTGAACTGAACCATCTCTGGTAACCCTGAATGTTACACTGAGTAAATTTAAAGAGGCTGCTCATCTAAGATGGAAGAGCTCCATGCATGGACGCAAACTACATATTTTTGAAATGGAATGCGGAATCCTGATTAGAGTGTCACTGGTTCCTGTTTGCTCCCAAGCTCCAGATGTGCTTGGTATTCACACTTGGAGCCTACACAACCACGCCAAGCCAATACAGGTGGAAAATTACAGCCACTACTGCATAAACACTATCTTGAAAATTAATAAAATACATGATGAAATCATATATATTGATGATAATGCAGTTATATCTATTCATATGATTCCATCGTACATATTATTAGTTTTCAAAATTGTGTTTATATAGTGGCAGCTGTAATTTTCCACCTGTACCAGTTTTGAGAAGAAAGATATAAAGTCCTGCTTTCAAAATAAAAATTTAAGCAAAAGTATTAAAAGATATGTAAGTCCGCTTCACACTGAAATGTGCTCTTGAATTATGGCAGAAAAATCCCCCCATACTTCTGCACTCACAGCTTGTCCAGTTTATTTTTTTAAAGTGAAGTATTTGCGTTTGGTGGTAATGTTTGCAGATTGTTACTCAATGTGCATGAGAATCATGTAGGCTATTGATTGGATGATGGTTCATATGGTTCATATAATAACATTAACATATTCATATGTTAATGTTATTTCTACATTAACATATGAATATATTGTTATTACTAAAGTCCTTTGTGTTTGCCAAGAAAAAAAAGAAATAAAATGACAGTAAACACCAAAATAAACTATTTAAATTATGTGGTTTTATATAAATGGTTGCTGGAGGAAAGATTAAATAATTAGAACCTGCTTCATTTCACAATAAATTCAATTTATTCAGATTTTTACATCACAATTAAATCATTGAAGTAGAAAATAAAAAACACTGTTGACTGGTCTATAAAGTGTCACATAGAGAAAACTCGTAAAGCATTATTTTTAACATAAAATTACAGAATGACTCCATTCAGAACCTCAGCTCTTCTGAGGTTCAGATAAACAGGAGGGAACTGAATGTACAACATTGTGTGGATGTCTTTCTGGAGACATATTCAACAGGTTACAATGGATATGTTTTCAGTGTTTTATCAACAAAATTTCTCTTTGCAACTCCTGAACAATACCATGTGTTTCAGTTTCATTCTTTTTCCTGGAGGCTCTCTCAGGTGTTATGTGCAACACGTTTAAACATTTTCACAACAAAGTAATGACTGATGTGCTGATTGGTAAGAATAGTTTTCATCAGCTCTTTTTTACATAATAAAAATAAAAAGTGATCTGACAAAATAATAAATGTACATGCAATTAGTTTAAGTCAATAAAAATCCTCTGGAGCAGTGATATCCTGAATGGCTGAACAGAAACAGGAAGGGGCAGCACCCAAAAAAATCCCAACATCCACAAAACAAACAAGATGACAAAGAAGCTCTATCATGACAACTGATCTCTGAGCAGTGAAGAAAAGCTCTCAACCATGGAGGAGATTAAAGAAATTAGGACTAAAATACACATTTTAACCAACTTGACCACAGGTTACTAACTTGTGGCTATTTTTTAGGATTAATGAACTCAACAGAGGATTGTTGCAAGAAAAGTCCAACACCAACATGTAGCGGCTGAGTGAATCTGGTCTGGACTCTGTAGAGGAGAGTCATGGTTTCAGAGACGCTATAGAAACACAGAATACCTGCTCTGTGATCCAGGTACACTCCCACTCTGGAGGAAACTGGACCTGATACTGTAGTTTTAACTTTGTTGTGTTTAAATGTGTAGCCATTTTTGGTACAATTTAATGACCAAGATTTGTCATTTGATCCAAATTTTTCTGCCTTGTTGATGTTCTTATATGAAACTGCTATAGTTCCTCTGGCTTGCCCGCTCCACTCCACCTCCCAGTAACAACGGCCAGTCAGACTCTCTTTACTCAGGACTTGATAATGATCAGTGAATCTGTCTGGATGATCAGAATAAGACTGCTGTTGTTTTATGAATGTTACTTTTCTAATCCACTCATCTAATAACATATTCCTGTTTGCTGTGTTTGGATCCAGAGTGATTTGTTGTGAATAATTTAAGAATCTGTCTCTGGTCTTCGGTTCTGGCAGCAGAATATCCACTAGCTGCTGTAGCTTGTCTCTGAGCTCTGACACAGCTGCTGTCACGTCCTCAAAGTGTCTCAGAGGACGGATGTTGATCCTGGATGATCCTGTAGACTCACTGAGTGCTGGCAGTGAGGGGTAGTTGAGGAGAAACTGGGTGTGATCCTCTGTGTGTGAGAGCTGCTCCAGCTCAGCGTTTCCTCTTCAGCTCAGTGATCTCCTGCTGCAGCTTCTCCTGAACATCTTTGACTCGACTCACTTCAGTTTCCTGCTGGGATCTGATCTGCTGCTTCACATCAGAGCTTCTTTTCTGGAGGAGACGGATCATCTCAGTGAAGATCTTCTCACTGTTCTCCACTACTTTATCAGCAGAGACATTGATGGCCTCCACCTCCTGTTGAAGCAGCTTCACATCTTTCTCTTGGTCCTGGATTCTCTGATGGATTTGTTGTCGACTCTCCAGGAGCTTCTTCTGCTTCTCAGTTCTTTCTGCTGCAGCTGGGACTGTTTCATGTCCTTTATGTTCCTCCATAGTGCAGAGATAACAGATACTCTGCTGATCAGTACGACAGAAGATCTTCATCACCTCATCATGACGAGAGCAGTAGTTCTTCTGGAGGTTCTTAGAAGGATTCACCAGCTTGTGTTTTTTAAATGATGGGAACCATAGTGAGGTTGGAGATGTTTCTCACAATAAGAAACCAAACACACCAGACAGGACTTGGCAGCTTTCCTTTTCCTCCCAGTGCAGTTATCACAGGCCACATCTTCAGGTCCAGCATAGCAGTGGGTGAGTTGATCTCCTTTCTGCTCCATTTCAGCTCTCAGTAACATCGACTGTGTGAGTTTCACTTCTCTGCAACAGAGACTGCTCTGAGCTGAGGTGTAACATATCAGGTAACTGAAGGGAGTGTCTCTGGATCCTCCCATCATGACGGTTGAAACCCAGTGGGAGGGAGAACAAGGAAGCTCTTTGAACTGAACCATCTCTGGTAACCCTGAAATGTTACCACTGAGTGAATTTAAAGAGGCTGCTCACCTCAGATTGAGGAGTTCCATGTTTTATTCCCAGATGGATGCAACTAGAGAACTGAAGTTGCAGCTAGTAAAGTATGTAAAAAAGTTTAAAAAATATTAAAGTTTAACTTTAGGAGCATAGTCTACGGTGGTTGACAATTTGGCAATAAACAAAAATGAATATTAACTACATATGATTTACATCTCCAGTTAAACCCATAAAATCATTCACTTATTATCCAAAAAATCCTTTAGTTAAAAGTTCTTAACTTATCTGCAAGAACTGTTTCTCAGTAGTTAAATTCATAGGAACTGGCAGTCTGCCTGCCTAATGATACATTTTGGACACGGCTCTTATTTTAGTTGAGAACATATCCAAGATGGTGTCGCAGCAGAAGCGTTCCAATTAATTTCAATTCAATTCACATATACTGTATGGTGCCAATTCCCTATAGATGTTGTCTTGAGGCACTTTACACTTCATGTACTTGCAGAATTTACTTCTCCTGGACAAGATTGAAACGACAGCTGACAGGAAAAACTCCCCTTTAACAGGAAGTTACGTCCAGCAGAACCTGGCCCGGGACGAATTGACGTCTGCCAAAGTCGACTGGGGAGTTGAGAAAACAGAGCTGATTCACAAAAAGTAACAGATGGACTGATGGAGGATGACTTTCTATGTTCATGAAAGCAAACAGTTCACAGCAGAAGAGGGAGAATAATTAATTGATAGAAGAATTTTCACAGCCCCCAACTTTCAGGAGAGTTTCACAAAGTTCCGTAGCTATTAGGTCTTAATATTTCAGCTGTATGACACAACTCAACACAATTTATTGACTTGATTGGTTTGCAAGCAAAGTGTATTATGTCTTACCTGTTTCATCGTCTTAATTTGACAATACTAACCACAAGCTTGTTTTGGAGAAAAAGTTGCCAATTTTTGCACAATTCCCTGCATTGTCTTTTATTTTAACCTTTCATGCACTGCCTTTGCTCTCTCTACTTTCCATCTTTTAAAAAACAACTGCCTGAGAGCAATGACAGTAGTTATAGCAGTCCATTTTAGCATCAAACCAGCTTCACCACTCTATTACATATAGTCAGACCAAACTGATTTTATATTGCTATTGGCTATCACATTGTACTGGTTGTATTCTTTCACAGATCTACCTCAGACGGTCAACCTAACTTTGTTCAAAACTGGTAGTTGCACTTTTTGGCCACAAGATGGCAGTGTTAAAAAGCTCACTGCATCTTTCCAAGGTTGGCCTGTATGTGTGTAGACATATGTGGTGCAAAAAAGGTTGTTGCACTGGTGATTCACTTCAAGTCACAGAGAAAAATGCTGAGTTGTGTAACTGTAGTATTTTTACATCTTCCACAAATACAAGCCGCAGCTAAACCTCTTCAGATTCTTAAGTATATAAAATTACATTTTCTGAGTCAATCAAAAACTTACATTCACATTTTTTACTCCAGCCATTAAAAACAAATCCCCATACCTGTGTATGAAATAAATAATTTGTGTTTATTTCTTTGTAATTTACAAAACGTCTGTTACGCTTTCACTAATCAGCTTCTGTTCTACCGATCTCAAAATATAAATCTCCTGCTCTACTACTTCGGTCCCACTTGTTCCAGTAAATTAGGAAAACAAAAAAAGCTTCCACACCTACATTTACAACTTCCCACAGACACATTTTTTCATA